GGGGGTCTTGGTCTCCGCTGTAGCTTGAGGGTTTCTCCAGTATCCTTTCATGACATTGGGTCCTCGGACCCAGAGCTCACCCCTGGCATTTGGACCACGAGCCGTGATCTCGGAAATGCCATCTTCGGACAGGATCATAGCTTCACAATTGGCAATCAATTCTCCAACTGAATGAGAGGTTGGCTTTTCGTTTGGTTCCCAGCCGAGCACACTGCAGGTTGCTCTGTTGCTGCTCGTCAGCATCATTCTCTCTGTGCTTCACTGACCAGTCGGGAGGAATATGGATACATACTCCGTCATGCCCCAGCCTTGCACCAGATTGACCTGTCCATCAGGCCACAGTTTATTGAACTCCAAAGAGATCTCATGTCCCAAAGGAGCAGCTCCGGAAAAAGCCGCTTCAACCGATGTCAGATCGTACTTTTTCACAGCTGGATGTTTAGCCAGATTCACGACTATGGGGGGCACCAAGCCCAGCGCTGTGATGCGATATTTCTGTACATATTCTAGCATCTGAATGAAATCGAATTTCTGCATGATATACACTGGCACACCACGTAGGAGTGCGCAAGCAATGTTGATGTTCTGAGACATGGCGTGGTAGAGCGGCAAAAAGTTCAACCATCTGGCCCGTTGCGTCCTTTCTGCATCGTCTTCCCTGAGTGATGCCAAGTGAACAGATTGGATGCAATTGCTGACGTAGTTTGCATGGGTTATTTCAACGCCTTTGGGTTGGCCTGGCCCAGTCAGTCAGTTCTTTGTTCCTGACACAAGAGGTGAGAAAGGTGATAACCTGTTGTCCCGCTCGAGTAGTTCAAGGCAATTGTCCTCTGAGATATGTCTTGCAGCGAAGACGAATCATCCCATGCAAATTCCCGGGCATCTTCAGGGGCGGCAAGCAGCCTTCCCCAGTTGACAAACCCTTCCTGCTGCTCCAGACTAGGTGAAAGATCACCATCATACACAGCACCGTTAAAGATGAATATGTTTTCCTTAGGCATCCCCACAAGCTTGGCAGCTTCCATTGCAGTATCCATGCTCGATTCAGCACACAGTAGAAGCTTAGATTCGCTGTCCTTCAATTGATACGCAAGTTCTCTTGCCACATACGACGGATTCGCGCCAGTGAAAATACCTCCAGCCATGATAACGCCCATAAACACCACGGGGTAGAATAAGTCATTTCCGCTAAACAGAAGGAGTCGATCTCCCTTTTCAAATTTACCGGAACACAACAACCCAAGAGCCAGTCTTTGGCACCATGCACGGAACGTAGATGGAGTAAAGTAATGGCTCTCTGGACGAGTCGCATCTAGAAAGCAGGGGTTTTTGTCATCAAGCGGTTCTAAAGGACTCTTGCAGACCAGAGTGGGCAGAGCACAGTTCGGAATGTCGACTCGCCATCGCGACTTGTATGGCATCATGCGGAGGGAGAGTCGAACCGGAACAGGCAAATCGCAGCACGTTAGAGAAAGAATTGGTCAGAAATCTAAGTTCAAGCATGGAGCTTCCGACAATGGAAGAAAAATAGGGATATTTCCAAGAAACTCCAGCAAACAAAGTCACATCCGGGGAGCACCTGGAGGAGAGCTCATTGCCATCCCCGCCCACTCGGGTGATTCGGAACCGAGGTGGACATTGCAGCAGCGGTGGCCCTAGTGTGCATATTCCTGTTTAGGTGTGGTAGAAGACATCGAGGCGTGCGGGGAACTTGGGTGAGCAGCCGCGGTTCACAAAGAGTGTCTGGGCTCCGGCCCATCCAATCAACGCACTCCTTAGCTGGAAGAGACCCCCTCAAAATAATGCTAGCGGAGCCATTAAAGTGCGCCTAGACTAAGCCTAACCGTAAGATTGCTTATAGGGTATAATGATACACAGCTTAGTTGTCCGTTATCTAATAAAATCTCATTATCTACAATATACTCCGTACTCTGCTGAAAATATAGTCACAGTGTAGCTAAAATATGCTTCTCTTATCATATTAGAATGGTGGTCATTTGACAGAATGGCTGTCATCTCCACTAACAGCACTTAGCTCATACCCTTTCTCCTGGTAAGTCGGAGAGTGAAAATTGAGCCAAGCGAATTTGCGGTGGAGGAACTACAAGGGGGCAAGGCAATATCAACGAAATAATCTTTCTTTGATGGTTACCTAGTATTTACCAAAACACGAAGCCCACAAGGATACCCTCTAAATCAGAGCAGCACAATTGAAGTGTCTTCTCCAGCAAGAAGACAGCACCAGATGACGTTGGTCGTGGGATGTGGAGCTTGAAGCCTGAGGCACACAATTGACTGGTGGTTATGTAAGGATTGGTATCTGAGAAAATCAAGAATAGAGAGTTGAAGCTCAAGGTGATTTCAGGTATCTCGCTTCAGGTGCCTGCCCCCGCCATGCCAGAATATGATCGCTGAAAGAGTGTTGTAAGGAAGACCAACCGGTGAGTGCTTAGCGAACCGGAAACACATAGCTCAAAGCACGCCGTTTCCATCAACTAGCCTCGTGCTCCAGTCCCACTACCAGCCCGTTCTCGGAGAAGTACATGCGTGCGGGTCCATATGGCTCTCTTCCCCCACATCGTCATCATCGCTAATCTCGATTGTTGGCACAATCATGGTGACACTGTCGTCTCCGTCTGGTCTAATCCCATTGGCCCTTTCCAGCCTCGTCTTTCCCTCCACCAAGCCCCGGGGTTCATGGCGACCTTGAGGAGGCTCGTATCGAAAAGGGTCATCGGCATTCCCATCGCTACTGATTGGCACTGGCTTCCCGTCTAGTCGGTCGTTCCAGTCCTTTCTTGTTTTTGTCTTGAAGAACTTCCTGAACGCATCGAAGGCTACTTCCCAGGTACTGCCAGGTATTGCCAGGACCTCTCGCCCAGAAGCTCCCTTTCGTGTATACTTGACGTAGCAAGCGTAGGTATGAGGAATAGCGTCGGATTCGAAAAGCTGCAGAACTTGAGCCCATGGTCTGACGATCGGGACCTTCAAAGGGGGGTTGGATGGAAAGCAGTCTGGGTAGCGAATAACAGGGTGCAATGACAGACCAGCTGACACTGGAAACAGATACATAGGTAGGGGACATGGGTACAAAGACGTTGCAGGCCAGTTGGTTCTTGGCGTAGAGGGTTGTCTGACCTTCAAGGTGAGCTTTTCCAAGCGATTTTCGAGAAGAAATGTTCGGACGAGAATGATGGAATAGCAGAAGCCATCAGCATCTGTATACGGGTGGTAGCCACCTATATATAAAAGGACGAGTATAAGCATTGTCCGAGCAAGGAGAAAGAGCTGACAGCACTCACTTGTCTGCATTTGGGCCTCAAAATCGATGCAATGCTCGTCAAATTTGGCAACTAGTCTTTGGTGTCAGTCGCAGACTTACATATGGGAGGCCTCCCAGACGTACTCGCTTCCTTGATGGCGTTATCTTTCTTGATCTGTATCGCTTGCTCCTTTTCATGCTGTCTTCTTTTGATAGTTTCCCACTAATTCCAATCAACAAGCGTCTATTAGCAATACCATCGGTTACTACCTCGTACTCCTTCTCCGGCTTGGGGCGCCTGCTGGATGAAAGCAGCGAGTCTTCAAGCCAGTCGAGGCTGATCACTTTGACATGCTGTCTTCGAGCGTCCCGCACTGTTGATTTTGGTGTCAGCCACCGCAACGTAGAATTGAACAGATTGGACAAGTTTATATGATCGTTCAGATAGCGGCTGCTTACCAATGTCAGGGTAACTCTTCCATGCCTTCTTGGAACACACCAAGTGTGTAACTGCGTCGTTCAGCTGCGTGGAAAAAGTACCTCCATTGTTGATGACCCAGAGCCTAATCTTGTCATTTTTGGGGCCAAAGTCATCCGTGCTGGCGAGGTTGATCTTTCGAAATGACTTCCCAACAGACTTTTTGCGCATATTGAGCGAATATGATTAGAGGTTATGAAGAGTACCAACGGAGGTACTGATCTGAAAAGAGAATCAGGACGTCAGTGCGGACAACACCAATGCTTGACCCGGTTCGAACCGCTTCTTGATGTGCGTTGAACGATCGAAGCTCAAGACTGACCAACAGATACGGTTACTACTTAACAACATGAGAGGAAGGATTGAGTGCTAGATGGGAGATGTTTCTGCCCAAGAACTTTTGAAGGTGAAGTCAGTTACCAATAGGAAGATGATAGTGGAAGACGCGGAAGCAGTTCGAATTTATGAGGAACTGATGCCCAAGAGTGAGAGTAATAGCTGACAGTTGCCACCATAGACCAAAAACTTACCTGTCGATTCGATGTTAAGAGGTTGGACTATGTCACGAACGAATCTGGAGAAAAAGCAGACTGACTCAAGGAGGGACTGTGGATCAATTCATTGCTGATAGTGTCTCAACCAGATAAACTCCAATTCATGCAGATGTAGGTGATGTAAATGGTGGTTGTGTTAGTAAATTCATTGTATTCGAACAGATCACTTATATTTGACGGCGCTAATGAAAGATCTGATCTTCACATGGTCATGTTTGCCATCCGTTTCGACTCCGCTACTAACATCAACAGCCGCGACCTTGTCTTGGTTCCTACCCAGGGCACTCAATGTGGCTTGTACATTGGTGGGGTCTAGTCCCCCAGCAAGGATACATCTAACATCGTCGTCGGCGCTGAGAGAGCTCTGTACTAAGGAATGGTCGAGCTTCGTCCCAGAGCCTCCTGATCCAGAGTCAAGAAGAGGCAGGGCATGATAACCTCGAGTCCAAAGGCCAGGTTCGCCAGGTTTGAAGCGGCGGATCACTGGGACAGATAGAAGATGCGCCCACTCTAAAGGCTCCGTGCCATGCAACTGCACAACGTCCAGATCAAGCTTCTGTATCTGAGCGACGACATGAGAGACTGGAGCATCCATGAAGACCCCAACAAGCAACGCCCGCTTGGGGTGAAGTAACACCTTCTGCCAATGCTGAAAAGGGTCTGTAGCAGTAGCTGAATCCCGCAAACTCGTGCTCTCCTGATTCAGAGGTCTGGGCGTCGATCTCACGACTGCTGAAATCTGTGCTGCAACATCATCAGAGACATAGCGACTCCGGCCTGGAACCAGTATAATCCCGATCATATCTGCTCCGGCCTCGATGGCTACTCGCGCTGCTTCTGGTGTACGCGTGCCACAAATCTTCACAGCGGTCTCGCGCTTTGACGTGATAACGGAGTCTTGTGAAGCACCCAGCAGGTCTCTCACAAACTTTCCTGTGTCACTCGCCTTCATGAGTGCTTCGCCCACGAGCACGGCCTTAACTCCATCCCTGCTGTATGAGGCCACATCCTGAGGTCCAGAAATTCCACTAAGTGCACACACTACGGTACTGCTAGGGACAAGATCCATGAGGCGGCTGGTGGTGCCGAGGTCAACCTCGAAATTGGTCAAATCGCGATTGTTGACGCCTATGACCTCTGCGCCCAGATCAACAGCGATCTTCATCTCATCTGAAGTGTTGACTTCAACAAGAGGCTCCATTCCCAGGGATCGCGAATAGTGAAATAGACGACTTAGTGACTTGATGTCCAACATTTTGACAATCAATAGCACTGTATCTGCTCCGGCCAATCGAGCCTCCAATATTTGATATTCGTCAAATATAAACTCCTTTCGTAAGACGGCAGGGCGATTAGGCATCTTCTCAAGGCTTTGGCGCACCATGCGGAGGTCTTCAAGGCTACCCTTGAACCATTCGGGCTCAGTCAGGACAGAGATGACGCTTGCGCCCACTCTAGCGTACTGCCGAGCTTGGGCTGGTGCACAAGTGGAAACTGATATGATACCTTTGGATGGAGACGCTCGCTTTATCTCAGCCATAAGAGCAAGTGGAAATGGTGACAGACGTAATCTTTTAGGAAAGGCTATTTGTGGCGGTGCAAGATTCAGACCATAGGCCGCTTGTAAATCAGAAAATCGTTGAGAAGGAAGTAGCTTTTGTGCCTCAACAGCAGCTCGGCGGTGCGCATAAATTTTCTCAAGAATAGAAGGTTTGTCAGAATTTTTGCTGGTCTTTCCATTACCATTTCCGGGGGCTGCTTCCGCTGGACATGAGGTCTGACCAGACCATTTTCCGCCCGCCATGGAAAGAAAGTTCTTCAGCATGGTTCTTCCCCCCTCAGTCAAGATGCTCTCTGGATGGAATTGCACGCCCTCCATGACGAACTCTTTGTGGCGCACACCCATAATCACACCCTTCTCTCCATTCTGACCTACTGTCGTCCATGATGAAACTTCGAGACAGTCGGGAATCGTCGCGTGTGTGCCTGCTAGGGAATGATACCTCGTAACCGGCAGATCTTGAGGCAAGCTCGAATAAACCCCCTTTCCATCGTGTTTTAGCGGCGAAGTCTTGCCATGAAGGATTTCGCCTGTGATGTCAATCTGGCCTCCAAAAACCGAGATTATGCACTGTGCTCCTAAGCAGACACCTAGGATGGGTATCTTTCCACTGAAATGTCTTATGACTCCGTTGCTGATGCCAGAATCAGTGTCCGGATGTCCGGGACCAGGGCTAAAGACAATCTGTGTCGGTTGCAGACTGATGAGCTGGTCAAGGGTGACTTCATCATTTCTGTAGACGGTGACTGTGGCACCCTCAAGCACTAGATATTGGTACACATTCCAGGTGAATGAGTCATAATTGTCTATAAGAATTAGGTTGGAGGCAGTCTGCAGCTTCGGTGCAGGAGAAGGATGGTGCGGAGAATGATCGATTAAAGACAGACCAGACATTCTGCTTCGAGGTTCCAGGCAGAGAAGATTGTTTTGAGACAAAAAGCGGTTCCGAGGTTTGCATGGGAGAAGTACAAGACTCGGTAGAATCTCGGCGACTTCAATAAGCTGCAAATATAGCTAACAAATATAGCTAATTAACTAGCTTGTCACCCTTTCTCTTCTAGGAAAGTTAGCCGGATCTCCAACAACGCGATCTCCAAAGAAGCAAGCTGCGGCGCGTTTTCCAGATACTAAGAAATCGACCTACTCGGGTGGGATCGTTGTCGGTGTGGCTCATTTGATTTTCATAAAAATGGTGCAGTGACATCGCCATTGATGGCTAGCAAGGAAGAGCCATACCTTCCTTCCCTGGAGTTGTGTCTCTCAGGAAACTCGAAGCTGATGTACGCTATCCTTCCTAATTGGTGCGAATGCGACTGATATAAGACAGTACATGGAGCCTTGCCTACCAGTGGCTATGCGACCTTCCACCATCTGGGGATGACTCCTCACTTGTTGCCTTTCTTTCATGCGAGAGCTCCGTACGGCTCCTTGTATATGCCATCCATGGCTTACCCAAACGCTCCACCCAATCAAAGTCCGATTTTGAGACCAGAACCGCAGCAATAAATGTCACACCAGCTTCCAATGGGCACTACAACATCGAAGAGATCAAAGAAGATGCTCTATGGTTGAGCAGAGAAGTGGATCTTAACGAAATCGAGGCACTAAGGATTGCCACAGTCGAATGGCAAAACCGACCCAGAGATATGCTTCGCGAAGGCCTTTCGGAAACCGAACAAGCTAGCCTACACGATGTTCTGGGTGCTCTCAGTGCTGCTGGACCGCTGAGTCGGTGTCTAGATGCAAGTGTCGGCCATGGACCTTCAAGGTCATTCCTTTCTGCCGAGAGGCGCAAGGCCAGGTTGTTGAACATCTACCTCGAAGAAACCCGAAGCCTGCTGGGTTCTTGCGAGAAGCTTGTCTGCATTTCTCTGTCTGAAGAAGCCCTACCGATCGCGTCAGAGGTAGGTTCAAAAGAGACGTCTGATGCTGACAGACAAATCCGAGACCTGGGGAAATCTGTCTTTGAGAAACTCACCAAAGTTGGAACGGAAGATGGATTTGAGAGCCATGTTACCTCCTGCATCGAGGCAATGCAATCTCGACTTGATAGTGTTGCACATGGGAACGGTTGGCACAAACCAGAGGACAAGGAAGTGGAAATAGAGAGGAATTGGGTTACAACCAATATTCAGGAGCTGATTCTACTTTCTGATTTCATATTGGTCAATTTGCGCACGTCCCGTCGCATAGCCAAGTCATCCATTATTTTACTCTGGTTCCGGATGGTGTCTAAATATGACTTTTTTGGTACCTTTCAACCACAATCGGAGGAACAGGCGAGCCTGATAGGGCTATTACAAGTGTCGGCTTCGATCACGAGTATAGCGATCCTCGATCCCGCCACGTCCATCACATACCTCTTGGAAAGCGAGGTTACGCTCCAGGTCGAACAAGATACTGATGAGAACGTCTTCTACTTCTTCGATCGAAACAACATCGGCGAAATCCAAGAGATCTTTCTCAATCTAGCAGGTGCTTGCATACCTTTAGCTAGCCCTGCCGTATTTGCTTGGGGCATTGTGCTGTATACCATTCGGGAGTTGGGACTCTCGGCAAAGGATACGAGAGAAGGGCAGCAAGTTCAGAAAGCGCTGGACCAGGGTGTCACAAATGAGCAGCAACAACTCAGTCGCAGGCTGTCCAGCAGCAGTCTTGGCTCCTTCCAGCAGAGCTTTTATGAGGATGTGGTGGAACAGGCGCGGGCCTTCTCTTTTGGGGAAGATCCCGTGGTGTTTCTCACGCAAAGTGCAACTGACGGTTGTCACGTCTTCGACGTAATCGTGAATATAGCAACTACAGTAGCTTCTTCGACATCCTCGCTCTTAGCATTTTGGAAAGATATGGCACTTCTAGACCTTATCAAGGTTTCATTTGATCCCATGGGATACGCACCAGAGATTCTGACAGCAGTATTGGCAGTCCTCCAACCCCATGATCAAGCCACAAATCCAAGTCTCACAACACCAGCTTTGGAAGCGAAAGTTGCCGCTGCGTTTCTGTCTGATGATTTTCTAATGAGCAACATTCTTGATATCTCAATGGCACGCTTCCCTTATGAAGCTCTCCCCTTCCTTAGACTTTGCAGGGCTCTTGCATCCGCTGGACGTGCCACTGATACTGACGAACATCCGATTGTGGAGCGGCTGCTTTCCATGAAAGCATTTACCCAAGTTGTTCCACCGGGATTTTCAGGTTACCGTACAATCAGAGAGGAAGAAAATGCAAATCTTGTTACTTTGGAGCAACCTCTCGAATATTCTGTTTCGTCAAAGTCAACGATACGGAGCAGTGGCACAGAAACGACAAAACCTCAGGATTTCTACCATTTCCCACAAGGCACAATCGGTCGAGTCATCTCTGATTCAAGACCTACAGTAATAACGTGGTACCACAACTACTCTGGCCTCGAATTTCTTGGGAGGTGGCTCGAACTGTATCACAATGGCCAAGAGGCAGAGTTCATCTTCCAAGCAGAACCCGCCGAATTGATAGTCTCTACAATCATCCAGCTTCTCACAACGCTGGTAAATTCAGCCAAGCAAGAAGATCCCTCCAGGATTCTGGAAGAAGCTAGCAATGGCTTGAGTCGCAACTCGGATATCATTCTTGTTATTTTCGAAATCTTTGAGCAGCATATCCAGGGACTACGGATCAAGAGGGCCCCGGATGGGGCGGTCGGCACGGCGGGTGCCTGCGTTGAATTCATGAGTGCTATTGTCAACATACTGCCTGGCAGAACCTGGCCACTGCTTGCTCGCAGTGGCTTTCTGAACCTTGATGGTGCTGGCAGTCTCCTTCTTGCAATTGCCTCCACGGAGGCAACAGTTGGATCGTTCAGCTTCTTGGAAACAAGTGTGAATCTTTATGGTAAGCTTCTTGATAATGTAATTGCACATTCTATACATCAAGGACACCAACGCAAGGTGAGAGAATACAAAAGACTGCCACCAACAACAGATCCCGGTGCACCTGCCCACGTCAGAACGAGGGTATTACTTGCCTTCACCCAGGCCATCACAGAAATCTACGACAGCCTTTCGAGCTGGCAATTCAGATCTATTACAAATCAAGCCCATATCCGAACCAACATCACACGAGGCTTCCGTGACCTGCTTCAATACGCGTTTGGGATTGACGACAGTGACAACCTATCGGCAAAGCTGACGTCGATTACTTCGTTGGCTGCGCCTTATGTGCTCGACTTCTTCCGGCCTGACTCACCGAGTGACACCAATTTGGGCACACTCATTCGGGTCTTGGCAAATGGACTCCTGGAGCAGGATCCCCTCCACCAAGAAGTCGTCTTCCAAGCTCAGGTTGAGCAGACCGAAAATTCCATTTGGCTTTGTCATGATCTGATACGGGGGGCAAGATTGAAGCACAATGTGACTTTCCTCGAGAGACAGCTGTGCCAAGTCTTTCCAGTTCTTGTAAGATTGTACGGAATGCATGCCAGATACCAGATACCGTGTCTGAGGGTTATGTCTGAACTTGTTACTGTAGGCTCCGTCAGCGAGAGTGACAGCTCCTCATTGCTGGGCTTTCTCGGTATGGAGTCTTCTAGAAATCTGCTGGAAATGCTTTCCACCCTGGATAGACCCCGTTCAGACTCTGGCCTCTATGTCACAATCTGGGAATTCCTCACGTCACTACTTAGTGTGCGCCAGCAGTGGTTTGCCATCTATCTGTTGACAGGGTCTTCGCCCAAGGAAAAATTGCAGTTTGGCAAGCATGACGAGAACCGGCAAAGTGCTGTCGTACGAGGTAAAGCATTCCTAACAGTAGCGCTGGATAACCTTTCACATATCGAGAACGTGGAAGGACAACGCGCCACCGCGATGCTCTCGTTCGTCTGTCGGGCGCAAGAAAATTGGTCCTGGGCCACAAGCAGTCTTCAGTCCCATCCAGACTTCTTTGCTGGTATCATGTCATACGTTGGCAAGCTGAATGTGAAGCAAGGATCTTCTCTGCATGAGTGTTACCAATACAAGATTGCTGCCCTTGTTGCAGAGCTCTCGATCGTCTATCTTCATTATGCTAGGTCCAATCGAGACTTTTCCATAATGAAGAAGATGCTACCAGCGTTCAAATGGTACACAACCTATGCTGTCGGGAACACGACTTACAACAACTCCTTGCATACGAATCTGCGAAAGAATCTCAAAGCGAGGTACCCCAACTGCGATACTCTCAACCTTAAAAAGACAGCTTTCTCTCCTCCCAAGTATGGACCGAATTTCTTCTACGAAATCCACATAGCAGCGAAGATGCTGTCCTCTGATTCCTCGTGGATTGGATCGACACGGAACCCAGGATTTTCCAATGAGTTTAGGCTTGCAAATCTCAATCTGTCGTTCGTCGATGCGCAGTTATCGCTCCTAGCCAGCTTTAAAGCATTATGCATGGAGCACTCTGCTTTCTTCGTGCAAGATCGCGAAGTCCAGAGGCTCATGGCCCAGATCGTCCGCAACAGCCTGACAGCAAATTCACAACCCTGTCCAGCCGAAAAAATCTTTGATTCTCTCTTCGAAAATCGCATCGAGCTAGCTGTGGGGCTTCTCCAGGGTCTGGTGGATGTCAAGGCGAGAGGTTCCGAATTCACCACTCTTCTGGTCAGTGCGTGGGAGACAACAAGGTTCCGAAATTCCAGCTACGACTCGGCAATATCGAACAATGATCTGGGCTACTATAGGTCCTGCCTTACTGCACTTCTTCTGTGCATACAACTTCACACCGAGAAGTATGAGAAGTCGCAATCTACCAATACTGGCCGAACTTCTCACACCTCGACCCGGTCGATGATCCTTGAGATCCTCTCCAATATTGTTGCGCAGGGAGTGGGGCAAGTATGCAGCGCACTGTGCGACCAAGCTCAGCCCCAGCAAAGCGGCACCATTGAGTCTGACAGTGGTTCAACGTCCGAAGTCGGTATCCGGGACTTCTCGCTTCTTCTGTCTATTCTTCAGAGCTCACTACGCGTCCCCTGGCTGTCGCAGATGGTTGCACAGGTATCATCAGTCTTCATATCAAGCAACATCATCGATTCTGTGCTACGACTGTACAGCTGGTCACATCGCCTCCTTCCACCCAACGCCGACCCAATCTACTCGTCTTATGCCCTCTCATTCCTAGTTGCACTCTCCCCACTCCCACCAGTCGCAGAGGAACTCGGCATCGAAGGCGTTCTAAACCGTATAGGGACAAGCCGCATCAACATAAGCCTCCAAGCCATTCCAGGCGGCGTTGGCCCATTCGAGCCGCCCCGCAGACCCAACCAGTATCCTCACCAGCAGCGCCTTTATATTGTCTGGTCCGAAGGCATCCTTCCCCTCTGCCTCAACCTCCTCCACTCCGTCGGCAGACCGATGGCAAGCGAGATCGCAGTATTCCTGAACCAGTTCCCCAACCAGCTCTCCCGCGCCAGCACCGCATTCATATACAACGCTGCCTCCAAAGACCCAACTGCCGGCGCGGTCAGCCTGTCCTTGGCCGCCGAGGCTACAGCGCTAGCACTCATCAGTCACGTGCTGTCCTCATACCGTGTTGCAGGGGCGTCAGCGGGCGTTGACTCTTTCGAAATCCCGATCTTGACTCATTATGACGAGCCGGAGAACAAGAAGGCGCTCAAGGCGGATCTTGAGGAGTTGGTCGGTCGGAGGGCCTTTCTAAGGAGTAGGATCGTGGCCACCAGTGAGAGGGAGCTGGTTTGGGCGAAGACGAAGATGAAGGATAAGGATCAGGATCGTAGTGATGGAGATGCAGAAAATGTGCTTGAGGCAAAGATAGTGGCTGAGTTGAAGAGCGCAGTGGTATGTTTGAGGGGAGGTGATGGTGGAGAAGAGGAGTCGTAGAGCTTGGAGGGGACTTGGTAGTGGAGCGTACAGCTGGCAGTGCAGCGAGATGGAGTTGGCGCTTTTCTGCCTCAACCCTGCGAGCGGCATGTTCAGGGTCTCTAGATCGAGGCGGCAAGATACTTTTTCATGTTGAGGCCGCCGCTTCTGCTGCGAGACGGAATGGCCGATGCTTGCATGATAGACCTCAT